CCGGCGACTGATGTGCCTCACCCGGGAAGAGCGCAATGATGGTGCCAACTTGGGCCAGTGAAGCAACGTCCTCCACAACTAGACTGAAGAACAAAAGCACAGCAACTTGTCTGTTCCCCTTCCCCCAATTCCCCAATAAAAATATTTAAAACAAACAAAACAAAAAAAAACATTAACACTGTTATTGCATTCTCCCTATCAGACCATTAATTACTTCTGGCTGATAAATGTCCATTTCTTCTCTTCTTCCAGTCAACCCCATTCCTTCCTTCATTATGATGCAACATGCAATCAATAACTCATTTGACCAATTTATGTGGCAACAACTTTTCTAGAGATGGACAGAATCTACTAGAGCCTTAAAAAGTGTTGGGCTGGCTTACAGGTAACCTCTGTCAAAAAAATACCAGCAAATTCTGAGGAATTATTCCGGGGGAAGGGTGGAAGGAAATCGGAGGGAAAATGTAAGAGCATGGGAATTCCACACACTAAATTCAGAGGAAGCTGATGGGTTAGCCACCTAGAGATGGGGCTGGTGGATGAAAGGGCGAGAATGGAGAAAACAGAGATAACTGCATTATTAAGGACTCTGATACTACCAATTTGTACTTCATAGTCAGTAATATTGTAGTATCTATGTATAGTGCCAGGTGGGTACTAGAGTAATTGGGGGGATTAAATTATTAAATGTCTAACCACTATACTGTACACTTGAAACTACTATAAAACAATATTGAATGTCAACTACAGCTGAAAAATAAAAATATATTAAAAAGGACTCTGATAAACTGCCCAAAAATTCTAGCTGGAACTAAAAATAGGGGTGGGAATAGTAGGGCCAAACATAAAGCTTGCATGATAACAGGAAACAAATTTTGCTCCAAAACTGACTTTCTTCCTGAACTGATGAAAAAAATTCACAAATTGATACTTAAAAGGGGGGAGGGAGAGAGAAAGAAATAACATCTACTAAACATATACTATATAGCAAGTACAGAGTAAAATGCACAAATACATTGAAGCCTCAAAACAATCCCATGGGGAACTTATACTATCACTACTTTTATATGTGAGGAAGTTGAGTTCAGAGGTTATATAACTTGCCCAAATACCATGAAGCTGGTAAGTAGCAGAGGCCAGATCCAAGCTCTGCCCTGTTTAACTTCATAGCTCATGATCTTTCCAGTATGCCATTCTGGGAAAAATATATAAATGGTTTTAGATAAAAATACTACCGTAACTACCTGGCTGTGAAAGCTTGAGCAGCGAAATATAAACCTCATGGCATACAACATCAGAGTCTAAAACAAAGTGGGCCACCCGAAAGTTCTTGCAGCGGAGAATCAGGGGACAACCCAGGCCAGTGACAGGCAACTTCTCCACAGTGGCAATGTGATGAATTGCAATCTACAAAACAGAAAAGAACCAAAATAAATTCACAGACACGCACTAGTTCTATCATTATCAGTGTTTCTGACTCTCACTAATGGTAACAGCACTGCCAGAGACGTGATCACATCTACAAACCTTCAACCATCCTTTGTAAGGCACAACTGAGTTTCTCTCAAACAGAAGTAAACAGTGGTAAAGCAATGAAAAGCAGTGTTATAAAATAAGTGCAGTGTTATAAAACTTCTCTCTCAGGGATATAACGTTAACAGGTTTGTAGGGCAATTGTGGTAAATTGGCTCAGTGTAATAGATGCTTCTAGCACGCTGTGGTGGAGTTTACAATTACAGTAGAATAATTGTCATAGAGAAAAACAGAACTTCCCTCCATTCTACTGAATCACTAATTAGAATAATTAATAACTGTCATTGTGCTTTATTTCTTACAAGATCATCCATGACCATTAATTATTTAATCCCTGTAATAAATCTTTGAGATATAATCACCCCATTTCAAGAATGAAAAAAACAAAACTCTGTGAAGCGAATTCCTCATCAGAGGTCACACAGTCAACAAGGGGCACAAAGAGGATTTAAACCATGGCAGTCTAACTCCAACCTCAGGGTTCTTTCTCTAGGAATTCTAAAAACTCTAACTCTGGAATTAGGATTTAACTAGAAATATTAGGGGGGAAATTCCTCTCCCACATTTTAGACTCGAGTGACAGTCAAGCAAAGAATGAAGTGGGGGAAAAATTGACCTGAGTAACTTAGGAAATGAGTAGAAACTATAAGACTAATAACTAAAGAAATATACATAAGCACTGTATTGCAGTTAATAAAGTTGTTTCCCATGGGAGTACAGGTTAACAATTTTGATTTTTTTAAAAAAGGATTAAATCTTTAGTCTTATCACTCCTGCCCAAGCTGATGCCAGCAAAAAAAGAAATGCATGGAAAGGGAACTAACTGGTCAAATGAATGGTACCCAAATAATACAATTCTTTCTTTATAGATTCAAAAAGCCATGGAATCATCATTTTACATTTTAGTCTTTGATGTTCTCCTCCTATCTGTGTCTCTGATATTTCCTGTAACTAGAACCTCAATGTATTCTTTTCATTCTTTGGACTCCCTGTCCTGTGCCTGGAATGGCCTTCCAATCATCATGGTCTTTTCTTTTCCTCCACCCTGCACACTCCATGCTCCAGCCACAATTTATTTGGAAAATATACCTCTTTCAATCATAACCACCATTTAAGAATGGGACAGGTGTTGGGACCATTCACATATTCCTAGCAGGGATTTTCCATCTTAATTGCTGTCTTAATAGTTTTGTTAAATTCAGTTCCTTCCATGGCAGTTTTGGAGGGGCCACAACAATGATTAATAATGTAATAGGAATTAATATATCAAATCTCAAGAAAATCAAAGCCCTGTTGGTCAACAAGTGAGATCCGTGTTTTGAGTAGTAAAACACTGATCATCAAAATTAGATGCCAGGCAAAAAAACGTGGTGATTTAGGAAGAAGGGAAAAGTGAAACAGATGAAGGCTGAGAAGAATGTCTTCATTAATAGTACTAACTAGGTAAATAAGCCTCCTTTGACATGTAGAAATAATCTACATAAATTCTCCTTTCCAGATCTAATCTCCTGGGTTTGAAATAATACCCAGTAGGAACCTATCTAGGGAAATGTGTGCTGTCTATAAATGTAGGTAGAAAGGAGAAAGTCTTATGGTGCAGTACTAAAGAAATGGTTCCTAAACTGTTAGAAATAGAAAGATCCCTACTAATTATATAATCTAACCACTTCATTTTAAAGATGAGGAAATTGAAGCACAGAGAGCAAGAGCCACTTATCTGAGGTCATATAGCCAGTTAGTACATATCTGAATCTCGCTAGAACCAGCTGTCCTGATTCCTCTTTTGGCATTCCTTTCATCACACCAAAGGGAGCAACATACAATCTCACATGGGGAAAGCTCATAATTGTTTCTTAAAAGGAAGTAATAAAATACAGCTTCAGTTGCCCTGAAAAAAAATTTGTTTTTCAACAAATATAGTCGGCCCTCTGTATCTATGGGTTTCGCATCCACAGATTCAAGTAACCAAGGATCAAAAACAGTATTTTCAATCCATGGTTGGGAATCCATGGACGCAGGGGGCCAACTGTATGCATTGTTGCATGCCATTTTATATAAAGGACTTGAGCATTGATGGATTCTGCTATCCATAGGGGGTTCTGGGACCAATTCCCCCATGGATACCGAGGGATGACTGTAGAGTCAAAGGTTATATGCAGATTTTCAACTGCACAGGCATTGGCGCCCCTAACCCCCACACTGTTCAAGGGTCAACTGTACTTATTACACACACACACACACACACACACACATATATATATATATATATATATACATATATACATATATATATATATTCAGTTTAACTTATTTTATACTTATACAATAGTATTTAACATGTGCCAAGCACTATTAAGCACTTACAACATTAACTTTTTTATTCTCATAACGAGGATATTATTACTATCCCTTTTTTACAGATGAGGGAAGTGAGACTCAGAGAAGTTAAATAACTTGTCCGAGGTTACAAACGTAGTAAACGTTAAAGCTGGGATTGCACCTGAGCAGACTGGCTCTAGAGCCTGTGATTTAAATCACTATGCTATGCTCTATACCAGAGGCACTTTGTGCTGCTTATAAAGAGGTCTAAGCATAAAGCTGGCTAAAGAATAAGTTAAGATTAAACGATGGTGATACTTCAGCATGGAGAGGGCATACAGTAATAATAGGGGTGCTACGGTAATTAGAAAACATTGTTTAAAGGTGTAACAAGAAACACACATATGATACACACCCTGTCATAGGTCAGAGAGATGGTCTAAATCAGGGGTTGGCAAACTTTTGAGATGGAAGAGCCGCCAGGGGTCAGCAAACTGCGGCTCGTGAGCCATATGCGGCTCTTTGGGTACGTACATGTGGCTCTGAAGTAAAATTGAAGATTAAAACAAAACTATCATCGTTTCATTTATAAAAATTTTAAAGGATATTATTCACATAATGGTGATTATATAAAAATATATTTATGGTTCTCAATTTTTAAATTCTTGTGAGGGACAGGATTGGCTCTTCCAGGGGTCAGCAAACTTTTGAGATGGAACGTACCCAAAGAGCCGCATGTGGTTTGCAAGCTGCAGTTTGCCGACCCCTGGTCTAAATCGATACACAAGGTGTAGTCAAAGGGCCATCAGCATCACCTGAGAGCTTTTTAGAAATTCAAAACCTTAGGCCTGATGACCACTGCGCTATACACCTGAAGCTGAAGTAGAATAATATTGAATGTCAACTATAACTAAATATATAGGTATATATAGTCATAGGATGTGGAGTACAACACAGGGAAGATAGTCAATGCTATTGTAACAGCTATATAAGATGTCAGAGGGGTAGTAGCTTGGGGGGTGGGTTATCATTTATGACGGGTTTAAATGTCTAACTAGTATGTTGCTTTGCACACCTGAAACTAATTTTAAAAATATTTAAAATGTTAGGCCTGAGATCCTGCATTTTTAACAAGCTCCCAGGTGATACAGATACTGCTGGTTATTGGACATTTTATTAGTAGCAAGGCTTTAAATTATTTCAGGATGCTTATCAACTAGGCTCAGAAAATGAGGAGAGACTACTATACCAAAAAATATTCAGGAAAAGTTCCATGCAGTTTAAAATGACTAAGATGACTACAGTTAATAACTTGAGGGATAAAGAGTCATATAATTCAATCTATGAAAACACCCCTAGAATAGGTCATGTGAAGCAAAGGTTTTACAGCAATTTAACTGTCACTTGCAATTTCAAGGAACTGCCACATTAGAAAGCATGTATCCACAACTCTTCAAGACCCTTTGAAATTTCTTCTCATGAACATACCCATGTTTCTTTCCGAGCTGCACCAGAAGCCTCCACATAGATCAGGTGAGTTGCAGTAAGATATAGAATCCCATTAGCTGGTTTCTTATCCACATAATGATCCAGTAATTTCACGTTTTCTACCTGTTATTTAGGGGGGAAGGAAATGTTGATTAAGTCATCAACTCACCACCTGTGATTAAAGTGAGACATGCAATGCAAGATAAATGCTGTTAATTTGCTACAAAACTTCTTCGAGGCTTTCTAGTTCCTGCCAAGGTGGCAAACTCACATAATTTATGTTTCCTTTTCCTAAATCAGCACTGGAGGAACTATAAAAGTGAGAAGGAAACATGGATTCCAGGAAGGATTAAAGTTCTAGATGATATTACCACAATGGGGTAGTTGTGGGTGGAAGATAAACAGGACATAAGTGTCTGCTGGGGTACTTGTTGGAAGGAAGTTGTAGTTATTGTATGTGTAAAAATCAATCAAGATAAATTACATGAGGTTAGATCTTAAATTAAAGGGCAAGAAAATATATCATATAACTTTCTATAAAGCAGGAAAAAACTTGATCTATCCAATGGAAAGTGGCAAAGGAGAAAACAAACAAAGAGTACCATAAATGGAAAGTACAAAATGAAATACCAGAAATAAGTACCAATGTAAGCGTAATTACAACAAATGTACATGAATTAAACTTACCAATTAAAAGATATACACACAGACTGGATTAAAACAAAAGACTCAACAATATTCAGGCTAGAAGGGATACATTTAAAACAAAGAGATGTGAAGAAGTTGAAAATAAAGGATGAAAAAAATATACTAGACAAATATGAACCAAAACAAAGCTGGTGTAGCATTCTTAGTATCTGACAAACAGAATTAAGTGACAAAGAAAAATAGGACAACAAGATATATTCATCATAAATATATATGCATATTACAATATAGTTTCAAAATATATCTTGCTTGATGTACTTGCTTGTGGCAGAGCTGCAGAGAGAAAAAGAACACTTGGATATTTTAACACCCTAGTTAGGAATTGATATATCAAGCATACAAAAACAAAAACAAAAAACAAGTAGAGATACAGAACACTTGCACAGTACAAGTAAAAGGCTCAAGTCATTAGATATACAGAGTAGAACTCAATATCCAACACAAAGAGAACACATAATCATTCAAGACAACAAAGAGAGCACTTCCAAAAAGACACTAGGATAATGGCTGTAAAAGCAGCCTCAATAAATTCCAAAGGCTCAATATCACAGAATTTACCTTGCCAACCATAATACAGTGACATCAAAAATTAATTACAAAATGATGGCCAAAATTAGTATACATTTGGAAACAAAATAGCGTATTAAATTAACCTTGGGTTAAAAGGAAATCATAAATAAAATTAAGAACTATTTAAAAGTAAATGATAATGAAAACACAACAAATGAGAATCTGTGGCACACAGCTAAAGCAGAACTAAGAAGGAAATGAATGTACAGCTTTAAGTATATTTATCATGAAACCAAACAGGTTAAAAATGAATTGATTAAGCATTCAGTGCAATGAAAAAAGCAAAAGAACACATAAACAAGGAAGAAAAAGAACCGAAATTAATAAGCAAAGAATCCTCCCCCACACATACACACGAAAAACTCAGCACAAAAGATAAACAAAACTAGAATTTTATTTTTTAAAAAGGAAACAGGATAGATCTTTAACAAGACTAATCAGGAAACAAAAAAGAGTGAGGGAAGGCAACTAAAATACAGAATAAAAAAGGGAAAACAAAGTAACAAAAATTTTAAATGAGAGTATTATGAACAATATGCTAATAAACTGAAAAACTTACATGAAGTGAGAAATTCCAAGAAAAATATAAAATGGCAATGATAGTCAAAGATTTTCCCTACTAAAAGGCTCCAGGTGCAGGTAATTTTATAAGGTAAATTGTACCAAACTTCCAAGAAACAGCTAATGACTACGTTATCCAATTTATTCCAGTCACAGAAAAAGAATAATGGTTACTCCATCTATTTTATGAGGATAGTGTAATCTTGATTCTAAAACCAAATAGACAACTATAACAAAACTAAGTTTACACCAATTTCACTTATGAAATGTAGATGCAAAAAAATCTAATAAAAAATTAGTTAATGAGGGCCGGCTAAGTGGCACGATGGTTAAGAACTGGTTTGGGATGCCAGAGGGCCCCAGTTTGGATCCCACATATGAGGGCCAGTGACACTGCCCTCTATAGCTAAGATGCTGAACAACAGCTCAACCTGGAGCTGGGCTGCCGTGAGTCGCCGGCAACGGCCTAGGCTGCAGCCCCTGTGGCAGTGGGTTGCCATGGGCTACCGTGTGTAGCCAGCAGCCAGCGTGAGCGGCCAGCAGCCACAGTGAGCGGCTGTCCAGAAGCCGGCGACTGATCTGCCTCACCCGGGAAGAGCGCAATGATGGTGCCAACTTGGGCCAGTGAAGCAACGTCCTCCACAACTAGACTGAAGAACAAAAACGACAGCAACTTGTCTGTTCCCCTTCCCCCAATTCCCCAGCACTGTTCCCATCCCCATAATTCCCCAATAAAAATCTTTAAAAAAATTAGTTAATGAATAGTATATTTTGAAAAATACCTTTCAGGGCCGGCCGAGTGGCTCGTTGGTTTGGGAGCACGAGTTCTGAGCAGCAGGGCCGCCAGTTCGGTTCCCACATGGGCCAGTGATGCTGCACCTTCTACAACTAAGATGGTGAACAACAGCTCGACCTGGAGCTGGGCTGCCGTGAGTCACCAGGGACGGCATAGGCTGTAGTGGGGCTGCAGTGGGCTGCAGTAAGCTACCATGAGTGGCCAGCAGCCAGCGTGAACAGCCAGCAGCTGCCATGAGCTGCCGTGAGCTGCCATGAGCGACCGTCCAATGGCCGGTGGCCTATCTGCCTCAGCTAGGAAGAGCACAATGATCACAATACAACATGGGCCAGCGAAGTGACATCCTCCACAACTAGACTGAAGAACAAAAGAACAGCAACTCGTCTGTTCCCCTTCGCTGATTCCCCAACACTGTTCCCTCACCCAATTCCCAAATAAAATCTTTAAAAAAAATACATTTGATCAAGTACAATATAATTTATCTCAAGAAAGTAAAGACAGTTCAACATCAGAAAATGTCAATGTAATATATCACATGAATAGATTAAAAGAGAAAAATCAAATGCTTTATCTGAACTGATACAGAAAAAAACATTTGAGTTCACTTTTATTTATGCTGGCAACTCTTAGTGAATTAGGAAAAAAAGTAAACATCCTTAACTTGGTCAAGATTATATACTAAACACCTACAATGAATGTCATGCATAATGGAGAAACTAAATGCATTAAATTAAAATCACAAACAAGACACACTGGACCCAAACTATCACTGCTACTGTTTTAGATATCCTAGCCAATATAATGAGGAAATCAAGAAATGCAAGGATTGGCTGTGAAGTGCTAATCTGGTACCATTTACAAGGAAGATAATCATCTACCAAGAAAAAAAAAAGAATTGACAAACTATTAGAATTGAGAGGAATTCAGCAAGATTGCCAGATAAAATACCTACCTACAAAAATCAACAGTATCTCTCTATACCAGCAATGACCATTAAGAAAATACCATCCACGGGCCGGCTGAGTGGCACATTGGTTAAGAGCTGGCTTGGGATGCCAGAGGGCCCCTGGTCTGGATCCCACATATGAGGGCCAGTGACACTGCCCTCTACAGCTAAGATGCTGAACAACAGCTCGACCTGGAGCTGGGCTGCCGTGAGTCGCCGGCAACGGCCTAGGCTGTAGCCCCTGTGGCAGTGGGTTGCCATGGGCTACCGTGTGTAGCCAGCAGCCAGCGTGAGCGGCCAGCAGCCACAGTGAGCGGCTGTCGAGAAGTCGGCGACTGATGTGCCTCACCCGGGAAGAGCGCAATGATGGTGCCAACTTGGGCCAGTGAAGCAACGTCCTCCACAACTAGACTGAAGAACAAAAACGACAGCAACTTGTCTGTTTCCCTTTCCCCAATTCCCCAGCACTGTTCCCATCCCCCCAATTTCCCAATAAAAATCTTTAAAAAAAAAAAGAATGAGCCCTAATGCAAACTATGAACATTAGTTAATAATAATAATAATAATAATAATAATAATGTATCAATATGGGCTTGACAATTGAAAGAAATGTGTCACATTAATGCAAGATGTCAATAATAGGAGAAACTAGAGGGGTAATGAGGGTATATATGGGAACTCTTCTTTCTGCCCAATTTTTCTATAAATCTATAATTGCTTAAAAAATAGCCTATTGGGGCAGCTGGATAGCTCAGTTGGTAAGAACGTGAGCTCGGAACAACAGGGCTGCCGGTTCGATTCCCACATGGGCCAGTAAGCTGCACCAGTAAGCTGCGCCCTCTACAGCTAAGATTGTGAATAACGCCTCGACCTGGAGCTGGGCTGCCATGAGTGGCCAGCGAACTGTGTGTGCTGCCATGAAGCTGCTGTGAGCCGCAGCCAGTAGCCGCAGCCAGTAGCTACCATGAGTGTCTGGCAGCCAACGTGAGTGGCTGGCAGCCGGCATGAGCTGCCATCCAGTGGACAGCAACCAATCTGCCTCAGCCAGGAAGAGCGCAATGATCACAACACCAACATGGGATAATGAAGCAACGTCCTCCACAACTAGACTGAGAACAACGAACGGCTCAGAGGTTGGGGGAGGGAGAGAGGGGTAAATAAAATAGCCTATTAATTTAAAAAAAGAATGGAAGGAATGAAGTGAATTCTGTCATAATCTCACTCGATATACAGGCAGTATTTGACACAGTTATCAATCACTACTTGAAACAACACATAGACAGTTAATGACAGGCCTGAGTTTAATACCTGTTTTTCCATGTTCTAAGCCTTGGAGAAAACAGACTGTCAATGGGAATTGAAACTGAATGGATGTAGAAAAAGGGAGTTGAATAAAAAAAATTTCTACCCAAATTGGGTGATTACTTATTCTGGTAAGAGACTGAAAGATAGTATGTACTCGTTCTGGAAGGAAGATATATTTTTCACAAGGTTGGATGCATGGCACAGTATAGCACAACCCTGCAACAGGAGTCCTGGGTG